GCTGATCCCAGGCTGATCCCAGGCTGCTGCTTTTCACATGAAAGCGTCTCTAACTTGACAAAGAGTCACATGAAACAGTGCTGGTGCATCATCTGTGGCGTTTCTTTCATCAGGAGAGAAGAGGATCAGCCCGTTCACTATTAATGGACCTGACAGAACCTGCACAGTTCAGCTGTTTAACATTTACTCTGAGTCGCACTGATGTTCCAGACTACTTCTGAACATCACCATCGCCTCTCTGGGAAACACTAAAACCGCACAGCGTGTATTCAGTCACTTCATTCCTCTTGATTCAAACCACTTCATCTCATTTCCTGCAGACTCTTCACACTGCTGCACACATCGGACTGGACAGACTTAGACAAAGCTGAAGGACAGCAGCTGGATGTTCGTTACTGCCAGTAACGAGCCGACGTTGGAGCTGCAGGTCAGACGTGAGCAGCCTGATGCTCCGTGTCCACTGGACCCGACAACAGCCCGCTTCCCATTCATTGTGTATGTGTTTGGAGCGACGAGGCGCCTGCAGCTCATCTGCATAAAGCAGACTTGACTTCTACTTTATGCAGATGAGGCGCGGGGAGCGGAGGTCCGACGCCTCGCGAAACTTTGGTGAAACATCTAAACTAGTCGTTGTTGAAGTAAAATGAGGACAGATTCAGCTGCACGGCCGATTTCTCGCCTCATGTTTTCAGAAACACTTTTCACTGAATGTTTTTTGTAATAAAAGCGAAAGTTTGCGGCCGAGCCGCCATGTTGGTCCGGTTTGAAATCCCAGAGCACACCGCTAGCGAATCGACGCGGTTGTCCAATCATGAAGCTACAACAGCATCACTAGAGGTAAAAGTTAGAATAAACCAGAAGCAGCCGTCAGGTTTCACTTCACGTCCACAGGGTTCTACAGGCTGCTGCTGGAGGAAGCTGTGTGTGTGACCATGGTGTCGGTGAGCGATGTCGACCTTTACGGCTGCCGGCGGCCTCCTCCTCCGTCAGCCTCGCCACACACTCGGCCTGGTCTCGCTCCACCTCCAGCAGGAAGTTACAGCTCGGATGTCGACATGAAACCTGCAGCAGAAGAAACCAGAGGAAGCCGTTAGCGCGCAGCAGCTGCAGAAGGATTCACACGACGTCCGCCTCGAAGCCTGGTACGGATGACGTTGTTCTGTCAGCAGGCAGAAAATGACTCTTTATTCATTTCAAACTGAACAGGATCATGATTGCATTTATTTCCGTTATATTAACACGTGTGTGCGTATTTCTAAACTGTCGGAGCCACGGTTTAAAAAATAAAAGCACATTGCTGCGGCGCCGCAGAGAGGAACACAAATCAGAGTATTTTACATTTTTCACTGGAGTTTCCTTTTGAAAAATGAGCATTCTCACTAAAACGATGACTTCTTTTATTCTGCACACTGAGGAGCAGCAGAATCAGCCACCTCAGGGTTTGGATTGAGTCTCTAAACAACTCCGCAGGAAACGTTCATGCCAGCGAGACGACGTTTGAACAGAAACAAAGGTGAACACGTCCAGACACAGAACTGAAGCTTCACTGCACTGATCTGAACCTCTTATCGCTGCATATGACAACAAAACCTTTGAAATAAATCTGCCACAAACTCATCCGTCACAGCTTAAAACGTTTTTTTACACAAATCATGATGTGATAATTAGCGTCCAGAACAACAAAACCACCGAACCAACAGCAAAGATTCATAACCAGAACAGATTTAATTATTAATTCGATATTTTGTTCTTCTTCGAGGTAGCTGTTGGAGGAAAGCGACATGATCGATGGATGAACTCCAGGTGAAGATCAGCAGAGACTCGTGAATTAAGCGCGTGAAAATGTACGTGGTAAGAATGTCTTTGCTTTTAAAGCGATATTAGAAAACAAAATAATAAATAAAATAAAAATGATGATAACAACAATAATAATAATAAATGAATAAAAAATAATAAAAATAAATAAAAACATTAAAAAGTAATAAAAAATATATTTTTTATTGTTTTATTTATTTGTCTTTATATTTCTACTTTTATCAGTCTTTTATTTATGGATTCATTTTTTGATTAATATCGCTTTATATTGCCACATTATTTATTTTTTATTTTATCTATTCTTCTTTTTATTTTTGTTATTCTTTTATTGATTTATTTTTCTAATTTGGCGCTCTCACTCCTCCATAGTTAAGGCCAAAAGTATTCCGACTAAAACAGAATAAAACAGAAATGTCTTGTTGTTGTGTTCACAGTGAAACCATTACTGTGTTCAATGAAAACAGGATCAGTTATAATCGATACCAACTCAAACGAGAAGCGCACAGTTCAGCGGTTCCTCCTGCTGTGTGGGATTATCCGTTATCCTGCCAATAACCGGATCAGCAGATTAAAAAAATAAATTCCTGCCCAACACTGGAATCCTCCCACAGCCTCCTCAAACAGCAGCTCAGCATCACGACCGTCCGTCCTGGGTGTGAAAACCACATCAGGACTCACATTCACTCCTCAGCCTCTAATCAAAGCAGCTCCAGCTGAATGTGGAAACACAAAGAAACCTCCTTCTGGTGAGTCTGGACCTACGAGGACCGACTGAACCCTTCAAACAGAATCACACTGAAGTCAGGGAGGATCACAAACCTTCTGACTGAGCAAACACGCCAGAAAGCACGCTGAACAACAAAGTCCTGGCAGCAGACGCCGACACAGATCCCACAGGACGTCGGTTCTCGTGGCACAACAGACACGAACAGCATGCAGCAGCTTGCACTGTTCAACCAGCAGCCAGATCTGCACAGAAAGGGCCAAAAACAACGAGGAGAAAGCTTCAGAGTCTGGAAGTGCAGGAGCTGAAAACGATCGAACAGAACTCTCTTCAGGTGACCCAGAAGGCTGAGCCTCATATCCAGGATTTCTTAGTGTTTAACAAAACCTGAAACCTAGAATAGAAGAATAGAAGGCCTTTATTGTCACTATACACATGCACAATAAACCTCAGTCACAGGTGGTTTTCAGGTCTTCATCAGTCAGGTGTTCTTCATCAAACTGGTTCCTGATCACACGCCGGGAAGTTCAGCAAGTCATGTGACGCTTCTTCCTGCCAAATGAACCAATCATGTGCTGCTTATTTCAGTCAGAGGATCAGGTTGTTCTGATGAAAAGCTGTGAAGGTTTATTACAGCAAAGCACAAAGCTGTTGCTGCAGATGAGCCCAGAGAGGAGTGCTGGTAGAAAACTGCTCATGTTGACAGTAAATACATTCATGTTCGAGCTGTTAACCTTTAAATGTTTGTTACCGTAACACTGACGGTCGTTTAGGTCTGAGACTGACCCAGAACGGAGCAGACGCAGCGTCAACTATCAGCCGAACCAAAATGAAATTCATGTTATTGACTGAATATTCTCAGTGATAACTACCAACAGACTGATCAGTTTCAGCACCAGCAGACTAAACGGACCAGAACCAAACATAGAAACCGACTCATGTGATTTCAGCATCACCAACTGAATACATGTAGGTCACCATGGCAACATGTTGCATCCTGCTGTACGTGCACAGCTTCATTCAGTGGATCACTGACGTACAGATCAGCAGGTTTCCAGATTAAACTTCAGCTGAGACTCTGAATCACTCAGAGAGAAACATCAGGTTACAGGGAGACGCTTCTTAGAGCCCGTTTAAATCCCAAACTCTGAACACAGCCTCCTCCAGAGCAGGTTAACTCTGCAGCATCAGTTACCATGGAGATCAGGCTGTGCAGCATC